ACCAGCCATCAACATCTCGGCATGAACCGCCAAGAGTGCGACGCATCACTCGCGTCAATTCTGAGGCGCCATCCCTACCGGAGATCGAAGCTGCTATCCGAACCATGAAATCCAACAAGGCTCCCGGGGTCGATCGCATATCAGCAGAGATGCTCAAAGCTGACCCCATGCTATCTGCACAAATGTTGCATCAACTATTCTGCAATATCTGGGACACCGCGACTTTTCCGGCTGACTGGATGCAGGGCGTCTTAGTGAAGGTCCCAAAGAAGGGGGACCCAACTGTATGCGATAACTGGCGTGGCATTATGTTACTGTGTTGTGTTCTCAAAGTTCTATGCAAAGTTATCCTCAACCGGATACAGGAGAAGATCGACGCGACTCTCCGACGGCAGCAGGCGGGATTCCGTGCTGGAAGATCCTGTGTGGACCATATTGTCTCGCTCCGCATAATCTTGGAGCAGGTCAACGAATTCCAAGAGTCCCTTTACTTGGTTTTCATTGACTACGAAAAAGCTTTCGACCGACTCAACCACGAAAACCTGTGGGGCGCCCTAAGGCGCAAGGGAGTTCCGGATAAAATCGTCAACCTCATCGAAGCTCAGTATGAGGCTTTCACGTGCAGGGTGCTGCACAACGGAGCCCTATCTGACCCTATTCGGGTAGTCGCTGGAGTGAGGCAAGGATGTATTCTATCACCGCTACTGTTCCTCATCGTAATCGACGAGATAATGGTTGGTGCGATCGACCGTGTGCCGAACCGTGGGTTGCTCTGGCAGCCTATTACAATGGAGCATCTAAACGACCTAGATTTGGCGGATGACGTTGCTTTAGTATCACAACGGCGTTCTGACATGCAGAGTAAGCTCGACGATCTCGCCGAACGCTCCTCAGCGGCAGGTCTCAACATCAACGTCAGCAAGACTAAATCGTTGGATATCAACACGGGAAATCCATCCAATTTTACGGTAGCTGGTCAGGAAGTGGAGAAGGTTGAAAGTTTCCAATATCTTGGCAGCCAGATAGCGTCGGACGGCGGAACCAAGAGTGACATAGGTGCACGGATCAAGAAGGCAAGGGCTGCTTTTGCGAGTTTACGAAACATCTGGAAGTCAAATCAGATTAGTCTCCGCACGAAGATCCGAATTTTCAACTCTAACGTGAAATCTGTACTGCTGTACGCTAGCGAAACATGGTGCGTATCAGCGGAGATCACACAGAAGCTGCAGGTGTTCATCAACCGATGCCTGCGGTATATAATTCGTGCTTGGTGGCCTCACAACTGGATTTCGAATGCCGAGCTCCATCGACGGTGTCACCAGAAGCCGATATCGACAGAAATTCGGGAACGTAAGTGGAGGTGGGTTGGCCACACTCTACGGAAGAGCGGAAATGAAATCTGCAAACAAGCGCTGGATTGGAATCCAGCCGGACATCGCAGCAGAGGCAGACCCAGGGGCTCATGGCGGCGAAGCCTAAACAAGGAGATTAAGCAAGTCGACCGGAATTTGACCTGGGCCCAGGTCAAGGCGAAAGCAAACAATCGCCCAGGATGGAGATCTTTCACGTTGGTCCTTTGCGCCAGGGATGGCGCTCAGGACACTTAAGTAAGTAAGTAAGATCACATGACTCACAACAATGAATGCATTGATCTAGTTTAAAATATAACCGAGCATCCTTTCTTTCGACTTGGTGAAGAGGTAACATTGGTCTCATTTAAAACAACGATGAATGAATTAATCAGTCCCACAGGGCCTTGAAGGAGCTAGAGTTGCGATCGGGAGTGCTGATAGGTATTTACTTTCAAGCAAGCTTTTGTTGATTATTGAGTTGCCCATATGATGAATTCTAGGATAGCTCAGATGACAAGGCAAGCGGCTGGTGATCAAAAGAGGTACATGGTTCGAATCCCATGCAACGACATGTATAAGTATTTAATAAACTTTCTAATATCTGTGTGGTGTGAGCCACGTCAGAAATAATGAAGAACAATCACTCAAGAAACACACCCTATCCCCGTCCCTTTTATTTTCGGGTAAATTTTCCCACAGTTGAATAATCGTTTAATAAATGTATAATAATGTCTAATTAAACGTTACTTCACATGAAAATCAACCCGTATACAGAGCAACATCACTGTTTTGAGGAAGCGCTGAATAATCAACAAAAATTATCGTATAACTTCTGTAATATAAGTCTGTCTCATATTAGTCGAATAAAAGCTTCTCGACATACCTTATACAACACCAAGTAGTTCAATGTTGTGGTTGAATAAATTCTCAAGATTTGTGTGAACAAAGCCTGAACAGGAGTTATCATTAAAAATAGTACAAGTACTATTAAGCATGCAGTTGAATAAAATGACCAAGAAGTCGTTTCTTCAAAAGACGATTGTTTGTTGGGTGGATCTTTTAGTAGCCCATCCCGTGGTCCTCAGAATAAATTTTCTGGTCACAAATCCGAATTTATAGTGACAAGACGTCTATGAGTGGCTTTGAAAAAGCCGGGGAGCTCTAGGATCAGTTTCATGAATAGACCACTTTTACCGATGTTTCGGATCTTTCGGTCGATGGGTAAGTGGTCCCCAGGGTCCAAAATCCTATCACAACTCCGAATTCTTTCTGATACAAACTTTATGAGTGGTTTTTAAAAAACCACGGAGCTCTAGGATCAGTTTCATGAATTGACCACTGGTACGGATGTTCCGGATCTTTTAGTTGACCATCCCGTGGTCCCCAGCGTCCATTTGCTGGTCATTCCTCCGAGCTTACTGTGATAAGACGTCTATCAGTGGTTTCGAAAAAAACCGCGGAGCTCTAGGATAAGTTTCATGAATTGACCACGTTTACGGATGTGTCCTCTCGATAAACTGACTCTTCCCAAAAGGTGGACAACTATCTGTTTAACAACTTCTCCAAAGACATCAGGAAGTTATCTCTTCAAATTGCCGTACAATCAGTGTTTGGTCCCAATTATCCTAATTATGTAATTTATTTTGAATTTGGAACAAATAATGAGTTAAAAAACGAGGGGATGCATCCCAATGAGTGGGGAGAAGAGCCCACCTTTAATTCACGAAATGTTAACAACAGGGAGTTGGCAATTCCACTCTCCCCATCCAATTTATATGTTGATATGAAAATATGTAGAATATAAGAATATAATACTACCGACAAACCGAAATGGCACTTAATTCTGACTTATATCCGAAAATCGTAAACGGCTGATTTAAATGTGCAGTGATCCGAACTGTCAAAACCATACTTTTTTTTAAGGCTTTATTAAAGAGATTCTAGTTCATCTCTATCAAAACCATACACCCAACCGGTGGATGTAAGATTCGCTTACAGTTATGTTGGATTCATCATCAGAGGATGTAAGTGGAGACCGCATGAACCGAGGATGCGATATACCTAGCTGCGGTCCAATGCAAGATCATTGGAGACCGAAAAATGTAGAGTGTATTAGTGAGGTAAATTAATTATGTCGAAAAAAATTGGAAAAAGGTTGCCGACTGGACTCGAACAACGAACTGTGCTTTCTCCACTACTCTCTCCATGCTCTGAATAAGGATAGCCTAAAAGCAACCAAGAAGCGCTCATTTCCTCTCACACTCGACTTCGTATGCTTTTTCTGCTGGAGAGATTCGAGGCAAGGGTGTGCGTCGTTCTACCACGTTATACACAAAAATCAAGGCAAATGCTTGCTTGTGTAGGTGAAAGCACAGACAAAACACGAAATAAAAAAGGCAAAAAACCATAACATCGCCTGCAAGGTCAACTTCTAACATTCGCTGCGATGTTCATGAACAGAGGATGATAGGAAATGGAACTAACATTCATTGTAATAGATTTTTGGTTTGCGCGTAGGATTTTTTTTTATCTAGATAGAAATAATTTGTCCAGAATTGATCAGAAACGAACCGATTCATAACTTTTGCATGCGGGTTCATGGCTTAGCTAAATATTTCCCGCGAACACGGAGCCAGATGTCAGTAATGTGCTTTGGTCAGAAAATTTATTGCTTTTGCCATGGTCATTCATGTCGGTTTGTCGGTGATAATACTACCCACGATTTTCTGCTCAGTAAGCAAAAACGATCCCTTCAAGGTAATCTAGCATCTCAAAACCACAGCACTCCACGACTAAATATGATTAAGTTTCCGCTTGATATGTAATGAACAACGGAGATGCAAGATAATTCATATAGTTTTTGCGGTTGATGACCATATCATATCATAGGGCCCATGTATTAATTATGTCACGCTAAATCGAGCAAAAAATTACCCCCTCCCCCCCTATCTAGACGTTTTTTCTATACCTAATGCATTGCTTGTCACAACATCTTAGACCCCTCCCTCCCCCCTTAGAGCGTGACATAATATATGCATCAACCCATATCTTCATTATCGCAACTTCGGGTAATCTGCGAAAGTACTTGCATTTTTCTCAGACACTTTTGATCTAACTGCAATCCCTTTACACCCTATACGCTCTCTGACCAAAGGGCAGGGCAGAAATTCTGTACACATTCAAAACAAATTTCAAACTTGAAAAACAGCAGCGGTGCTGGTGGTGTATCGGTAAGCGGCTTGGCGGTGTATCGGTAAGCGGCACTCCAATGGGCTTGGGTTCAATCCCAGACGGCGCCGTCGGGATTTTCTGATGCATACAATCTTTGATGACGCCGAAGTAAAGCCGTTGATCCCCGGTCCATGAATCATGAATTGAAGATGGGTCGATATGTAGGGTCCAGATGTGGGAGCTGCCTTCCTGGCGGTGGTAGCGTTGGTGCTCAGTACGGAGACCAAGATCGATGAAAAACGAATCAAGAAAAAAAAAACAAATACCTAGCAGTAGACTATTGGAATTGTATCTAAGCTTCCATCAACAGGGTGTGGACTGGTATTAATTCCTTGACATATTTTCCTTAAGATCTACGCGAAGTTTCACAGTTTTTTGTTGTTAAATTGAACGTTATTATTTTCTTCCATTGACTAGTCACTATGATGAAAGGAAAACGCTCTTCTATGAATTTTCTCGTCTGGATGCACTCCTGGACAAACTGCAGGAGTTTGGTCTCCATCCGGGATTTGAATTTATGGGAATTCCGGCTGGAATTTATGAGAAAGAACGAAGGCACCGTTTCGTATACTTCTGGACGGATTTGGCGATGCAAGTTGCCTCACACTATTTGCGTGAGTATTCGATGTATTTTTATCAGAACAGGATTGAAATGCATTGATATCTCAGGTAGATATGGAATAAAGTATGTTTCTAACTGGAGATTTGAAACGTGGAATGAACCGGATCTAAGAGGCTACAATGTACTAAATTTCACCGTCAATGGTAACTTTCTAAAATTGAAAGAAATTTTAATCCATTCAAGCAAGGCAACTCGAAATTTCAGAATATATCAACTATGTTCAATCGATTCGATTTGGTCTGGATGCTGCTGGTCGACTTCTGAATAACATTCACCTGCCTCTGCATGGTAACATTCACCTGCCTCTGCATGGTCCGGCCGGGTTGTTTAAATCGACGGAGCATCATCCGTTTTGTTGGAGCGCATTGAAGCTGTGCAACGATTCACCGAAAAAGTGTCCCTTTGAGGTTATTACGTTTCATCGCAAAGGAAGCGGATTGAGAGCCGACGAAATTGTCCAAGGTGGCGTCCGGTTAGTTGAGCAGTTGCAGGAAACGTTCCCCAACATAAGTGAATTCCGATTTTCGAATAAGTATGATGGAATAAGTTTGGAATGGGATTTGAATGTATCTTTCTATATTTACAGCGAAGCCGATCCCATTGCAGGCTGGTCAACTCCACGAGAATTTCAGTCTAATCTGAAGTATGGTTCCATGCTGGTGTCTACTGTACTTCAACATTGGTCTGTACTGTTCACCGGTCGATTGCGCAACTTGGAATCCATCTCCCACGATAATGGTTTTCTCAGTTACTATCCCTTCGAGTTCGATCAGCGAACCCTGCTGGCACGCTTTCAAATGAATCTAACTCAACCGAGACACGTTCAGTTTGTTGTTAAGCCGGTATTTTCTGCCCTCGGAATGCTCGCAAATCTAGGGCCAATGGCAACTGACCGTTTACATGCTACTGGGAACATAAGCTATATTGTGTCTTACCAACAAAATCCTTTCTACTTGTGCATTCTACTAGTATCATCCAACGACACCTTCGAACCTGTTGAGAAACGGCAGAAGTTATCAGTGAATATCGTAACGACAAAAGAATTTGTGGGACAACCTGTTGCATACATTGTAGAGGGACTTCAGAGTGGCTTGAACGATCCGAACTCCGTATGGCAGTACTATGGAAAACCACCCTACCCAACAGGGGCACAATTTGAAGAAATGAGGTCCGTTCAGTTTCCTTCCGTTCTGGAAGGTCCCACAGTTCTTCCGATCGGCAGGAAAAGGTTAAAGCTAAACTTCAACCTACGAGCACCATGGCTGGCAACCGTGCGAATGTGCAGCCTTCAGTCTTCGAAACCATCTGTAGTTCAAAATGTCCGAGTTCGAAGGATTCACGCGAACGAAGTTTTAATTTTTTGGCACGAAAATTCAGCTGGTGTCAGGTATGGTATAGAATGCAGTCAAATTAACACCGTTTAACCGGGTCAAATTACAGATGCACCGTCGGCTATGAGGTATGGTTTAACGGCTCTAATCGGTCGGTCGATTGGACGCAAATTAATTCCGAATGGCATACACCGTTTATGTTCTATCAATTTGCGCCTAACGTTCACGTTGTTGGTGGTGTGACAGGTAAGCACCTAATCTGCTATCAATTAATTGAATTATAGTTTTGGAGCGGATGGAATGATGTTTCGGGATTTGCGTTCAATAGCACAGAGACAAGTGGATTATGGTTGGAAAAATGTTTCGATTTTGGAAATCTATTCTTGATAGATTGGTTTGTAACATCCTTGGATTTTTTTATAATATCAGTCAGGCTTGCAATTGCTGATTACAGCTCAAATGCTATTTCAAGAACAACATGTGAAAAGGGCATACAAGCTTTTTGTAAACAAACCTTCTTATGCCCTTCACTTGCTACCCATATGACACCAACGCAAACCATCATCATCACCGGGTAGGGAAAACTTTACCCTTGCCGATGATGTTGTTGGTTTGCGTGGGTGATAAAAGGGCCTACAAAGGTTTGTTTACAAAAAGCTTGTATGCCCTTTTCACATGTGGCTCTTGATTTTTTTCATAATTATGAAACAATGAGATACTATAATGATAATTTTTATTTGTAAGATGCAAGAAGAGGTGGTAAAGTTTGTGTATGACATATAAAATTTATCAATTTTGCTTTCAGAAGGTCACAACTAGCGGTTTTCTGATCGCTGATTGCTCGCTCATCGCGTTTCTCATCGTTACTTTAAACGTCGGCTTCTCGCGGATGAAGATCATCCAGGCAAACCAACAGCGACATCTAGTAGGAAGTGATTCAAATGTGACGTCCAAAGGATTTTCAATTTTTAACCTCTCTTTCTTTCTCTCTCTCTCTCTCTCTCTCTCTCTCCCTCTCCCTCCCCCCCCCCCCTCTCTCTCTCTCTCTCTCTCTCTCTCTCTCTCTCTCTCTCTCTCTCTCTCTCTCTCTCTCTCTCTCTCTCTCTCTCTCTCTCTCTCTCTCTCTCTCTCTCTCTCTCTCTCTCTCTCTCTCTCTCTCTCTCTCTCTCTCTCTCTCTCTCTCTCTCTCTCTCTCTCTCTCTCTCTCTCTCTCTCTCTCTCTCTCTCTCTCTCTCCTCTCTCTCTCTCTCTCTCTCTCTCTCTCTCTCTCTCTCTCTCTCTCTCCCTCTCTCTCTCTCTCTCTCTCTCTCTCTCTCTCTCTCTCTCTCTCTCTCTCTCTCTCTCTCTCTCTCTCTCTCTCTCCCTCTCCCTCTCCCTCTCCCTCTCCCTCTCTCTCTCTCTCTCCCTCTCCCTCTCCCTCTCCCTCTCCCTCTCCCTCTCCCTCTTCCTCTCCCTCTCCCTCTCCCTCTCCCTCTCCCTCTCCCTCTCCCTCTCCCTCTCCCTCTCCCTCTCCATTTCTCAACTTGTCATCCTACCCAAATTTGGGTACGTCGTATATCACGTGATATACGCTGTAATGTGAACGGGGTATAACACAGCTTCAAGCTGTCAAGTGTCGGTGCGATGCTTTGTTAACGCCTAACTGGCAGCACTGCTGGCAGTATTAAAAGATACTCAGAATATACAGAATGGTCAAACAAACCAATCCCACTAAGGTGGTCAAGAGATGAACTAGCCTCAGGCTAAAAATCTCTAAAATAAAGAAAAAAAAAAAAAAAAAACTAAGGTGGTCATTCTAGAAATATGTCTATTATGACAAAGCACTGTTAGAACTAATTTTAGATTTGCTTTAGACTAAAGTTGAAAAGAAAATTCTACGTCAATTGAACTTGGTACAAATATCACCCCTGCTTCAAATTCTTCATCTATACCTACTCCCTTCGCTGCTAACAATGTTCAGCGAGTAAATGGAGCTACCAATGTTGCTATTGCAACGGGTAGAAATCAAAATACTAGCCAACGTAATTCTAACGGAAATTTTGAAAATTTTGGCATTACTGCTCCTAAAATGGAATTTTTACAGAAATCATTAATTGAAATGATTACTGATATGCTTAAATCTAACTCCATGTTTGATGCTATCCAAACTGGAGTAAAATTTGCGAACAATATAGCTATGACTGAAATTCAGTAAAAAATATTTTAAATTGGAATGATTGACCCCTTAAAGATAATGAAGACGAGCTATTTAATTTTTTGAGAGTTCATAACGTGCATATTGCCGTTATAACTGAAACGTTCCTTAAACCTGACCATAAGGTTAAGAGGGACGCAAATTATTTCATTTATAGAAATGATCGTCTTGCCATCATTGTTCATAGACGAATCAAACATAAAATTCTTTATCCATTTGAAACCAAAGTTTTTGAAACTTTGGGAGTCTCTGTTGAAACAAAATTTGGACAACTTACGTTTATAGCTGCCAATGCGTAGGCCAGCAAAAGAATTTTCTCAAGGGTGACCTTCAGAAACTAACCCGTCATAGGTCTAAATTCTTTATTATTGGTGATTTTAATACAAACCACCGCTCATGGAATAATGCTCAAAGCAATTCCAATGGTAATATTCTGTTTGATTGTTCTGCAGCACATGCACAACATGCACAGAAAACAATTATGAATTTTAACTATCGCGTAAAATCTCCCTTCGTTTAATTTTGAGCTCTGCTTGGCATATACAGCGAAATCGTTTACAAGCTTGGATACAATATTGCTAATTTATGCGATATTGCGCCTAAATTTACACGAAATATCGCGTAAATTTATACCAAATCTAGCGTTAATTTTATGTGCGCTATATCTCGCAGAAATTCTTCTTCAGCAAGAAATCCCTCCACTATTCATTTGGTCTTAACTGATTCATGTTAACTTTGTAGCCAATTGGTTACCCATGCTGACTTCGGGGGGGGAGGTAGCTCATCGATTCTTCCGGTTCGCCTCCTAGCATCGTGCTATAAGGTACCAGGCGATAACCAGGGTAGTTGATCGATAGCTCGATGACGTCATTTCGTTGGCGTCTGCTATGGGAAACTCTCATAGCAGGCGTTGACGATGGGACGTTGTCGAGTTGTTGAATAGCAACTATCGTGGTAACTCACCGATTACCTGTCGATCTGCCAAATTTGGAAAGACGTCTGCATTGAATTGTCTCATATAATAATATTCCGCCCACTATATCACAAGAAATTGCGAGTAGCTGAGTGGAATGGAGATAAGTTAAGCATTGGGTACAGGACCAAGTCTCCCCTGGGTGGTGCCAGAAGATGAGCGCAATAGAATCATCAAGTTGCCATAAGGCACGGAATGAGACTATTGCATGGCTGGGTAGTCAAAGTCTTCCATTCGTTAGTCATTTCAGGTGGATTAGAACAGGTTTAGGTTTAGGGTGGGCGTTGGCCAGATTTGGATTTTTCAGATATAATCCTAAATAGGACCTAGATTATTTAATACACTAGTAACCTCAACTTCTGTCACAATGTTTCATTGTGACTAATCAACACTCAATGGGTAAAATATCAAATTTGCGGTAAATTTGAAAAAAGGGAACTTGGAGTGTAGAGTGCACTGCCCACTGGACGATTCTGAAGCCTGACCAAGTGAGTGGGTTACGGGTTTATTTGATTGTACGTCATTTCCAAGTTACATAGATACATTCATACCATTGGCATTTTGTATTTGATACAGATACATGGATTTGATGTACAGATACATTCATACCATTGGCATTTTGTATTTGAGATAAGACAGAGACAGGATGCGGAGGGCCTGCTTAGGGGGAGCGTAACCCATGTTATGGCTTCCATTTATTAAATAGTTCAGATAGGCTGGAAATGATAGGTTCATGGTGAGAAAATGTACCATATGGTGCCCGTTCACTGATCAAAATTAGATTCAAATCGTCAGGCCCTGCCCTGGAATAAGGGAATTGACGATGATTTGTCAAGTTTCATTTTGCATTTGCATATAATTGTAAGTTTAGGTTTGCTTTTGTAATTGTAAGATAGATATAGCGAATTCGTTTATTATCGGGGTTGGAACTAGTTCCATCCCGTGCGAACCCGAACTTTTTGTCAGTGCGAACCTCGACCCGTGCCAGGTTTTAAAAACAAACGATCAAACTGACGTTTGCTAGAAAACAAGCAGACCCAATCTTGATACCCGATCCAGGTTGGAACTGAATAATAAACGAATTCGCTAATAGTTTGCCTCAATTGAAACATTGAGTTAAACATGACGAATCATACCTCTAAAATAGTAGTAGTTACAGTGCCGCATTATCTAACTTTTGTTTTGTTTGTTTACATATAACTAATACTAATACCTCCTTGTTTTCTCTCTAATTTGTCTACTATGTCCCACCATCACGATGAGAGATGAGCTACCGTACATGGTACACGCTCATATACACTCCCAAAATAGTATGCCGCAAGTAAGTATATCACAGAGGCAACTAAAGATCCAGAAACAAAAACCGAAAACGCTGAACGGCAGATTGGTTTACAGTGGTCGACCAGGGTGTGTGCTGATAAATTACAAAATTACAATTACATCATTATTTCATACATCAGCTTGAATTGCGTTGATCGATATTACATTTTTTTTGCTGTGCACTACACCACCGGAGCCAGCAAAGTTCAACAATCCATCGTTGCTTATGCCTTTGTTGTCGTTTGGAACCAGTTTTGCGAGGTAGGTGACGATTGTGCGTATTTCTCGCGTAAATTTTGAAAAGGGCCTAGCCTGAACAATACGTGAAGAGCAAATTGAAACATTGTACGTCGCGTGAAAGTGGAACTTCATGAAGGCCTAAGTACTTTTTCGTAGTTTTTAGTTTTCGGATTTGAAAGATCGTCGGTTACAGTGGCCTGCTTACTGAGCAGAAAAACGCGGTCCCAGGTCCTTACATATCAAAGAGATTTATGGTAAAATCGCATGTGTATCGTGTATTTTGCGAAACTCGTTGTTGTCGTTGGTTCCGGGTTTGAATGGATACACAAATTTGAGCAACGGTATTATGTGATATGAGGGGCTCGGTGGCCTTAGAGCAACCGTTTTTGCTTACTGAGCAGAACATCATGAGTCTATTCTCAGGCCCATCCACAATCAAGATTCGTCAATCGTTTTATTTGTTAATATGACTACATGGTAATAACAGCAACTCGGTGATTAAAAAGGTGCTCGTCTGCCTAGTGGCAAACGTTTTTGCTTACTGAGCAGAAGACCGTGGGTTTAGTCCCAAGCTCCTTCGCGTTATATGATCGTTAGGACATCAATTCAGCTTATCGTTTACCAAAACGAACCCTGCTGCAAACCCAACCCTCTTATCCAACATCCCAGTGATTCCTCGTGGAAGTGCAGAGGTGTTCTCGGCTTCCATCAAAGCGAGTGTCATGTCAACACAATCCTTCCCATTCCTTTCTTGACCTGTGTTCGGGCGCGGCCGGCGCTGGTATTGCCTAATTTAAGATCACCAGTTTTTACACATTGAGGATGATTGCTAGTCCCAAGCATCGTCTATTGGTTCTCTGTGTAATTACAGCTGATCTGGCAATAACAGAGTAGCAACCGTGGGCGGTCAATCAAGCTCAAGCTCAAGCTCAATTGGTTACCCATGCTGACTTCGGTTCTGATCACCTCCTGTAACTTTTGAAATATCCCAAGAATAATTTCTAATCCTCTAATCTTCTAATAACAGCTCTACTTTCAATTACCATAAAGCTGATTGGGAGCAATATCGAACATTTATGGAATATAGCTTTGATCCAAACATTCCTTTGCAAACCAAAGATGATATTAATAATAGTCTTGAATCTCTGACAACTTCTATATTTGAAACGAGAGCTGCCTCAGTACCAGATTCATTTATAATAGACGTCGATATTCAGCTCTTGATCCATCTGAAAAATGTCTGTAGGTGGCAATACCAAAGAACACGTGATCCTGCCATGAAAGTTTGCTGACGGGATTTGCAAAAACAAAGTCTCTGCCCTGAGCAGTGTTGGCAAAATCAGAAATCAATTGTTATTTTTTCACTCTCATGCGCTCGCAATATCACGCGTGATATTAGAACAAAATATCATGCTTGATATTAATTTTACACGCTCCTTTGATATTACGAGACTATTCACAACTTGCAAAAATCAAGCTGAGAGTTGACTCGACACAAAAATGATTCCATTGCATCGAGAAAACTTGTTAAGCCTTTTTCGCGCGAACCGAATACGCTCACGCAAACTAACAACACCATCGGGCAGAGGAAATTCTCCCCTTCACGATAGTGCTCTTGGTTTGCGTGGGCGTACTTCGGTTCTCGTGAAAAGGACCTAGCAAATTATTCACAAAAGTTGATAGGCCCTTTTCAAATGTTACGCGAGCATTATTCATGTGTTCATTTTTACTAAACAGGGCCCCGCTGCTGTGTCAAAAAAAAAAAAAATTCAGTAGATGAACTAAAGTTCACCCGTACACAGGTCTATTGTTAGAATTTTTTAAAATTCACAAAAATCATTTTTTTTTATCAGCAACGATCACATGGTAAGCGTGATTACCTCTCACCCCAGCAGGCCAGTCGGCGCCGCCGGGATGTTCTACGGCATAACATCTCTGATCACGCCTTCCTTCGGATGGGAAGTAAAGCCGTTGGTCCCCGGTTCATGAGTTGATGGGTCGATAGGTAGGGTCCAGGTGTGGGAGCTGCCTTCCTGGCACGTCGGTAGCATTGGTGCTCAGCACGGAAAACAAGATCGACGGAAAAAACAAACCAAAGGAAAAAAAAGCAATGATCACATAGGAAATACATACATTTAGGCGTTTTCCGAGCTACTGTATCAATGTCGATTAAATTCGAATGTTCTATAAGTTATATCAGTTGGATCTTCATTTGACATAGCAAAAGTCATGTTCAATGATAATTTGAACTAAGTTATTGGTTATTTTGGTGCCACAGCAAGCTTAGATATGTTTAAACATGACTCCAAATTGACTGATCCCTACATGGGTTATTTTCTAATCACAATAAAGCTTGTCTATACTTATTATGCCACCAACATAACCAATAACCAAAAACATAATAATTGAACTTGATTTTTACATTGTTTTGCTTCAATCCAACCGGCAGAAGTTATTTAATAATTGATTGTAACTGAAATAGATACACAGAAGCTAACTCGGAAAACGCCTAAATGTATGTATCACCTAATTGATCATCTGTGATCAACCAATTTTTTTGCTACCGACGTGCCAGGAAGGCAGCTCCCACACCTGGACCCTACCTATCGATCCATCACAACTCATGAACCGGGGACCAACGGCTTTACTTCCCATCCGAAGGAAGGCGTGATCAGAGATGTTATGCCTCAGAACATCCCGGCGGCGCCGACTGGGATTGAACCGAGGATTGAACCCAGGCCTGTTGGGGTGTGAGGTAATCACGCTTACCACTACACTTGTGATTAACCAATGATTTTTTTGATTTTCAAGAACTTCTAGCGATCGTTTCCGCTTAAAACTTTTCAGAAATGAAGTTTAATAATTATTTGAACTAACTCTTTGATTATTTTGGTGCCAATTTCCCATTCATTTTTGTATGGCGTCCTTATATTTATTTCCGAAGGAGCAAATCATATTTCTATTTATTTCTCCTACGTACATGCAAGGTTGCAAATACTCATTTCAGCTAAAATAATGTTTTTCGGAATAATAAAACCAAAAGATGGTATGATGGTATGTTTTACTTGTAACTTACAAGAAGAGGCTACAAAGTATGCGTTTGAAATATAAAACCTGTAAATTTTGCTTTCTATGAGTCACAATCAGCGATTTTCTGATCGCTGAGTGAGTGAGTGAGTGAGTTAGTGAGTTTGTGAAAAATCGCTGATTGTGACTCTCATGAAGTGAAATAAGCAGGTTTAATATGTCAAACACATTATTCGCAACCTCCTCTTGTATCCTACCAATTCAAAATATGATCATGACATCTAATTATTTCATAATTTAAAAAAACATTGTTTTATCTGAAATGAGTATTTGCAACCTTGCGTACATGATGCAATTGGTTCTTTCTTAGGCTCATATTGTGGCTTCCAAACACACATGATTTAGAATTCCTCTGATTCTTAGATTTGGAAGGAACCATGCTTTAGAAAGTGTCTTTATAATAATTTCCATTTTGTATAACTAAATTTTTTTATAATATGAAAGCTCGAAGTTATGATGAAATTTTCTATATCAGTCATCAAAAACTCCTTGTCTTTCTTGGTAAAATTATTTAAAAGATGCTTCAATTTAGCATATTGTCCTGATAAATGGAAATATGCAAAAGTTGTTCCAATTTTGAAGCCGGATAAAAATCCAGCTGAAGCTTCTAGCTCCCGTCCAATAAGTTTGCTTTCTTCAATAAGTAAACTTTTTGAAAAAAATATTTTTGAATGCAATGATGCTTCACATTAAAACGAACTCGATTTTTGAAGATGAGCAGTTTTCCCCTGTTTAAATTACTGCTTTGCCAAGGCAGGAACAATGTGAACGCAATTAGATGTGTATCATAACAATTAAGGCTGGTAAGTTACTGTAGTAGCTAGGGCACCTAGATTAAAATGAGATGTAATTAAATTTGAGTTTGAAACAAGCAAAGAGCTAAAAGAAACTAAGCTGGTATTCTGCTGACAAGGTAAAGAAAGAACAACCTGAACGATACTATAAGGCCATGATAAAATGTACGCCCTATTTTGAATGGTAGGCTTTGATAATCAACTTTAAAAAGTGTCCGAATGTCGATGCTTTGCCCGAGGACCCGTGTAGCATAATTTGCAAACATGGCCGAATCATTCGAATCATTGCGGTATAACGAATCAAATAATCACCCTCAAAAAAGACTTATCATTGTCACAACTTTTGAATGACAGGGTGCTCTGCGGTAGTCGTTCATTTCAATAATTCCCAATAGAGTTCCACATCGACAGACCGGAAAAAGTTTTCACACCGAGATATTTCAACGGCGATTTTCCAAAAGGACTTATCTGCTTTTGTAAACAATTAGTCAAACGTCAATTGGTCGAAACTCATAGCTCGCCCACGCAAATTAAAATCACCATCAGATAGGGTAAAGTTTTCCCAATAAGATGGTGGTTGTTGTTTTCGTGGGCCAGCTAAGATGCAAATTAACGTTTGAATCTTTGCTTTCAAAAGCGGATACGTCCTTTTTGAAAATTCTTCATTGCATTGAACACAATTCGTCGTCTGTCCCCTATCATCCCCTATGCTACTCACTCGGATCGGATGCCTACGGATATATTTGACTCTATGGATGCAGCGCCGTAATCCCGAAAGCATTTTCCGCTGTTTCCCATTCATAGTATCGAAACTTTGAAATTCCGAATGTTTTTCGTTGCAGGTCTGTACCGGGTGCGTTCCGTTGATTTGTTTGGTCGCGTTGGCGCTTTTTCCAAAGCTCATTATTATGATGGCTGATTTTTAATTATTTCGAACATTTAATTATCCGCGTTTGGTGGTTCTGCAGTAGGTGGATACGAAAAAAACGCACCAGTGAATGAGAATGCTAATTTAATTAGGTGAGACAGGAGGAAGTGCGAAAGCGAAAGCAGTGGAGAGAGGACCGGTGAATGGATGTCACCGGAATGTTGGTAACGTATTCAGTTTGTCCAACCTGGGTAGGTATATATTAAAGCAAAAATTGTGTTGTGTTGTGTGGGGATATTATCGGATTTTGTGGCGACTGCAGAATCGAACGCAAATTATACAGACTCTATCGTGATACCAAACCAGATAACTGTTTTGTTCGTTAACAGAGTTTCAATCGCTCAAATTGGAAGTAGGTGTGGTTTAGATTGATTGTGATAATTTTACCACTATTATTCGTTTTGTGAACGTACATATGTTGATTTGAACTCAATAAAAGTCTGTCAGTAATTTCATCGCCAATTGCGACTTGTTTGATTATTCGAAAGCATTATGCAAACATTCTGTGTCATATCACCTACTATCTTATTCACATGAATATCACTTATAAGCATTGGCGTTGCTAGAAAATTTATCTGGAGGGGGCCTAGGGGGGCCTGTTGATTTTTTTTTTATTTGCTAAACTACGGTTAAATAAAAACTCGCGAAGATGCTTGTTTTTGGGTACATTTTTTCTGTGACCTATATGACATTGAAACTTACTTTTATTTTAATGGTGAAACAATAAATTTGATTATATTTATTTCATAGCAATGATTGGGAACCCGGAGGGGGGGGGGGGCTGGGGGCTTTAAAAACTTACTGAACAAGCAATGATCCTTTGTACATGCTTTGTGTAATGAAATCACACAGCGACCATATGTCAAACATTTAACCATCTTAAACTTAAGAAAATGCGCAGAGTTAGATAATTCCATGAATTTTATAACTAGTTTTGTTTTTTAGATTCTGAATATTTCATCATCAGTGAAATCTCAGACAGAAACCAAAATTAAATTCTAGAAGTTTGAATTTGAAACATGATAAAGTGGAAAGAGAATAAATTTCATACATTTAGGACTTAAATATGTTCAAGGTTAAGATTTAAAAATTTCGAAAAATACTAAAAATTATTAAAATATAATTTGTCATGATTCTGATATTTGAAGAGAAAAGAAAGTAATAAAGCACTTATGCAGAACAATTTTTTATTCGATGCATCGGACTAACTAACATTTGGAGTCAATCAAGATTAAACTTAAATTCTAATCGAAAGGAATGAACTCGTAACTTGAATGATTGTGTCTCTGTTTGTGACTAGATAATAATTGAATTTATTTTTACAAAAGCATTGGGATTTTTTGTTTTAAATTTTAAATGAAGTTAGTTTTGGTTATACCCATTTGGAATCAAATAATTATTTACACGAGCTTTTTTAATCATAAAATACACACAAAAAGCACGGATTTTTGTATGTGCTAAGGCATTCAAACTATCCTGCAGCTGAATTCCGGGAATAAATTTCATCGAAAATAAAGAAATTTTTACACATTAAATATGTGTAGAAATTTCCACTTTTCGTTAAAATGTCTGCCGGAATTCAGCTGCTGGAGTGCTAATTCTTACCAATATAGCTAAATCATCAAGGCACGGGTCTTCCCTATAGATAATGTACAAACATGTCTATAAAATCTAGATTCATATTTCAAGATTCCACCAGATTCAATTAGCTGGAAAACTTTTGAATACCGTAATCTGGGGATAAATTGATCACTATTTATCGTAAATAAATAAATTCCTGCAATAAACTAAATTGAAAAACTAATGGTATTTAAATCAGTAGCTATGAAGGCTCCATTGTCCTGCATGATTTATTGTAATATTGGATGTTTTGTTAATTTTTAGGAAATTTTAGGTACACTTTGTGAAAACCGAAAATGGAACATGTAACAAATTAACAAAGATTTTGAACGTTAATTACTCAGCTGCCCCTGGTCCAATTTCAATAATTTTATCACCAATCGATCAGAAATATGGCTACGCATCGATGACAATCTTTCCGAATGTTGATTATCAACAAGAAACTATCGAAAAACTTGTAAAGGTCCAGCATTGTTCAAGAAAGCATTGTAAAAACCGTCGAATTAACTAACAAGTCCACCAATTACCTAAATGCATATGCTGCTTCCCCAGCACAGTCGTCAGAGAGTAGTAGGTAGACGAAACAAGTCGAAGTGGCATTCGCCTCCGATCCTCGGGCGCGTGCGAATAGGGAGGATGGAATTGCGTAATATTGTGCAACTCATCGCCATACTCACACGCACGCTCTCAACGACCACACCACTGTGTGGTGGTGTTCAGTTGTCGAAATTAGTAGCAGCAGTAGCAGTGCTTTCTACGTGTGTCGTTGAAAATTGTTCTCCAGTAACAACGAAAGGCTGCCTGCAAGCAGCGAGTTGCAGAGCCTACATAAGCAACCATCAAAGGAGGAAGAAGCTGCACCGTTATGCTATGGATCGGAATCAGTAGCTCTACGTGAGTCGCTGCGGGTCGGTCATCTATGCCATGCGTGTCACCCTCGCTCCAAACGACATACAGCTCGACAACCTCATCCGTGTTGAACACCCAGCTCAGAATTACTCAACCATCACTACAAAACGGTCCTTTTCAGGGCCACCAAAAATTTGTTAAATAGTATTATTTGGACATTGGTCAAGGTCATCAGTTCCCGCAAACAGCTAGCTATCAAGGCTCAACCTGGTCCCTATAGAAGGTGTGGAATTGCATACACTTTAATACCAAAATGCACAAAACTTAAGAATTCATATATAACAAAAAAATCAAAATACACCTTTCAAAGTCAGGTAGATGAATCGAAAATACTCAAGTTGACAGTCCCTTGGATTCTCTTCATCAACTTTCTCTTTGAAATAAATACTACAAATTTGATACGCTTACAAATAAAAAAACGGAAAGAGTTAAGAATGAGTTAAGTTGATGATTGATCAATTAAATGAACTAAATGTTCACATTTGTTCCGTCCACTAGCGGTCCTACGTCAAGCTTCCGTTCGTGCCCCTAGGCACAGACCCTTCTACTTTTTAAATCTTAAATTTTAAATTATCGATATGGGGAGACATTTATCAACCCCTCAAATGGCTTCCCAGTTCTCTAGTAATTGTTCTTATTAAATGTGGGTTCCCTGAATCCTATTCAGATGCTAAGACCCTTGTGTGAAAAGTGTTTTGAGCAGAAACGCCGAAAAAAGAACAGTTGCGCCTAAATGTAGGCAATTTCATTGTAAATTACTGGTAGTTTTGCGAAAAACCCTGGATTTCTTGATATTTGAAACATTGTACTGCAATTTTTAAAGTAATTCGGATTAATTGACACTTAGTTTAGTAAAACATGATACTTGAATGGTATTGACATCAATAGTTGCAGTCCTATGATCGTTTGTTTGGATGTTGATATTGTATGCTACTTAACGTCAGATCTATAAAATTGAAATTTATGCAATATTTTTTTCTTTTTGTTAGGAAAAGAGATCAAGGCAATCATTTTAGTCTCATGATATCTATCACCGACCATGTTATACGTGACAATTAAAAGTACAACGCATTATGATCAATTTCACCCCGGTGATCAATTTTCCCCCGGATTACGGTACATCCTGAACAACCTACAGTCTTGAAAGAACATTGAATTTTTAAACAGTTGGAGATCCTCAGAACTTGATCAACCTGAAGTCTTGGAAAAATATTCAGAGAACTTTACTAATATCTTTGTCTATATGGAGATCTTTTGAATATTTCCTGCTTTCTAGAAAGGATGTCTGAAAGAATATCCTGTAACTTATGCAACGTTTCCTGAACGTTTAAAAAACTCCCTTAACTTGTACTAAATTTCCTAACTTCACCGAAGGTCCCTGAATTTATTCCAAATTCCATATTTTATCAATCTCTCTTAATTCTACGAAGATCTCTGAACATCTTTGCACTTCTGGAAAGGCACCTATCATCTACAAATATTCTTAAACATCTGGAAAGTTCCTTGAAATTTAACGAAGTTCTCAAAACCCCCAAGAAGTTCATGGAGCTTTTTCGAATTAAGATCTCCTAAAAGTTTATTGAACTATCTTTTGGATCATCTACAAAATTCCCAGAACTTTTTAAATATTCCTTACACTTATACGAAGATTTACGCAGCTCCTCAAAATGCTACGAAATTCGCAAAACTTCTACAAACTTTGTTGTACTTCTATGTTTCTCGATGATTTTCCGCGAAGTTCCACGAACGACATTTCTAGCATTTGTACGTTATTTCCACAACTATTCCAAGACCATGATGCTCCAAAAAAGTGCCCTGAAATTATGTAGAGGTTTCCGATCAATAATGAGCTTCCCTGAAATAAAATAACGTTCCCTTAACTTCTATGAAGCTTCTCAAACTCAAATAAATTTTCCACTTCTACGCAGTTTTCAGAACTTTTCCAAGTTTCTTGTTTCTACGATTTTTTTTTCTGTAGATCTATGATGTTCCCAAAATTTCTAATAAGTTTTCTCAATTTTTACGATGTTCGCTGAACTTCTTAGAAGTCCTTGAAGTTTGATAAAGCTCCCAGAAGTTAAAGAAAAATCCCTGGGCTCATTAACAATTTTTAGATCCTGTTGACGTCTTATTATGCCATCGATTAAATATCGATATAATATAATTTATCAAAATTGCTTCTTCTAGTCCAGAACGAGTGATTTAGAACTACAAAAGGATGATTTTTCATGAAAATCAAGGTATTTTATAAATTGGTTCCAAAATGATAGCGGGGTAAAATGCCTGATTCGTGGTACAATATGCACCACAATATTGAGGCAAGACGCACGACAACAATGGCCAAAACGCACCACAAAATTGTGGTAAAATACACCGCTTGATAGACAAACCATAACCCCTGCAAGTAGATAATGCAAAGGGATGTGGTATTTCAAATGATTATTCATTTATGTTGCATCAGAAATATGGTCTCAAAATCTCAATAGAATGTTAAACTGTGCAGTGTTCACTCGGCTGTCGATAGAAGCAGACCACTCTCAATGTGTGTCACGCGATCGTCTGTTTACTCGGCAGCAACCATTGTGTGGTCATTCTCATTGTTCTTCATCAGCAGTTCTTTCGGTCGATGCGTTGTCGACTTTGGAAAGCAACCGTTTCGTGAGTGCTGACCAGTGGTGGCACGAGTACTGGAGGTTAACGATTTTTCCTTAACATTTGATACTTTGTGCGATGACCATAGAGGAGACACACAAACACAAACTGGCAACCGGAAAAATGTCATGACATTTCTAAACTGTTTTCTGCAGGCGACAGAACATTTCCGCACAATCAAGCAGACAAGACCAGCGGCACGTGTGACAAAAATTTATGTCATGTAGAATTTTGCTGATTTAAGGGAGTTAATAAGGGAGTTAATAATTTA